CCTCATGATGAGAACTCTCAGAGTCGATTAACAGCTTCCTTGTATATCACATGAATCAGTGCTCTGTTGTGCTATGTCAGCTAATAATGAAAAACACACGTGAAGTCTCAGCCGCAGGCCCAGCAGACAGGAGGAGCTCCGAAAACGGGGGTCAGAGTGAGCACCAGCTCCTGCCTCCTGTGAGCCCTGGCCTGGCCGAAGCCTCCTCGCCAGGGCCCTTTCTTCGTTGCAGTGCTGCCGGCATGAGGCCCCCTCCTCTCAGCCGATGGAGACCCGGCGCCTGCTCAGCCTTCCGGTCGGGCTCCTGCTGGTGGCCCTGGCCCCGGCTGTGAACTCAGGTGGACACGCGGCCCCACTGTTTGAACACATCTGGAGGGACTCTGGGGGGACGGGGCGGTCTTGGCTGCAAGGGGAGCTCCGGGGAACTTTCAGAGAAGGCAGGACTGGAAAGGGGGAGAGTGGGGGCGGAAGTGGCAGGTGGAGAACGTGGTCTGGAGGCCGGCCTGGGCCAGGCCTGGCCTGGAGGGGGAGCGGGCTGGGGGCTGCTCAGGGGCAGGGCCCCGCCCCGAGCCACTTGCGGGGCCAGCAGGGGTCAGGGGGCTTAGGGCCACAGGAGGGACATGGACCCAGAGCCGCGGACAGCGGCCGTGCAGTGAGGGCCACCAACTCCTCACTGGGGGTGACCGTGCCGACAGCATCGGGGGTCTCAAGGACACCTGTGCAGAGACCCGGCTGTGACCACCTCGGACAATGTTTGATAATCGCAGTTCCTTACAACCATCAAGCCAAGCGTTGCTATTTCCAGGGCTATGGCACGGGCCCTCCCAGGGGGTAGGGATGATTTCCCTGGGCCTGGGAGGAGGGCCCGTGGCTCTGGGAGGTCAGAGGTCAACTGGTGCTTCGTGGAGCACTGGCCTGTGGGACACACGGTCCCCTCCTCCCCGTCCCTGGCACTGCCCAACGCTGGACTCAGAACCCGTCGTGTGACGGCGCTTGCAGGCCGGGAACAGCCATGCAGTGGCCAGTGCTCACGCAGGGCTGCAGCCAAGTAAGGGGAGCCCAGGGCCCTGCTGTGGCCCAACCCGAGGACGGAGCATGGTGGCCGCGGGCCGCCTGACCGGAGAGCCGAGGAGCATGAAGGGAGGCCCGGGCCTCCGTGTCCTCGTGTGGCTGGCACCCCGAGCACAGGGACTCTGCCCAGAGAGCTGCAGGTAGCAAACCTGGGACTGAATTCCTGCACGAGGGGGCAGGGAGCCTGTCTGGACGGCCGTGCCAGCAGCTGGCCTGGCAGGAAGGGGGCCAGACAGAGTGGACCTCAACATGCAGCGACCACTTTGCAAAGAACATGACAACCCCCAAGTGGCCAAAAGCAGGAGGCTCTCAGGCAGCAGTGCGGCCACTGAGGCTGGCGTTTTGGGCTGGGTCCCGCCTGTTTGTCCGAGCCCCTCTGGCCCTTGCCCTGGGACTCTGGCCTGTTTGGGGTCTCGGAGTTGCAGCTCACCGGGTCCGAGGGGGAGGCTGTGGTCATCTGTGGCCACGTCACAGAGCCAGCAGACAGTGGGCTGGCCCTGGTGAGGTTGAGGCTGAGCCCCCGCAGGGCCAGGTCTGAGCAGGAGCGGGATGACTGGGCGGAGCCAGGCCAGCTGTGGACAATTAGGTCCCTGTTTTGACCCCAGGACGCTGGGTGCTGGCCAGAGGTCAGGGCACGGAGGTCTCAGGCTGAAGGTGCGTGGAGGATGGGGACGGGTAGCCAGCCGGCACACCCAGAGAGAACCCGGGAGGCCCCTTGGGCTGCAAGCTGGCCCCTCCTGCAGAAGGGGCTCCCTGGGGCTTCTCCCTGGCGCTCACATCAGAGCGCCCAGGGGACCTTAGGAGGTGACACCCCAGGTGAGGCCAGGCCCGCTGTTCTCGCAGCCCCATGACTGCCGCCTGGCTCCCTGGACTTTACAGAAGTGGAGTCTGGGCCCTCAGCCAGCCCCAGGCCACTGCACAGTGTCCCTGGAGAGCTCCGTCCAGGCTGGGGCTGGCTCCGATCAAAGTGGAAGGGAAGCAGCCATCCGCTCTGACCTGCTCGCTGAGCTCAGGCACGGGCCCTGCGTCCCGCCCGCACCTGGCTGGTGACCCACTCTGAGGCCAGGCTGCCTGCTGCCGGCGGGGAGGGGGCGGGACTCTCAGCCCAGGAGCAGCTTCGGGCACCCTCGAGCTGTGTCGTTCTGGAATCAGGAGGGGATGTCTGTCGGGCACTCAGTAAGATACCAGCTCAGATGGCTACTAAAAATTCTACAAACCCAAGAAGGACAGGCAAAACCAGGCGCTGCCTCACACTCTGCTGTTTGTTCGCTCTCTGGGGAGTGGTCCTCCCGGGGCAGGTGTGTGCTCACCTGTCCGGAGCTGGGGAGGGAGCGTCCCCAGGCGGGGGCTGCCGCGCTGGGCTTGATGGTGACCCCCGATGGGCGTCGTGGGGCGTAGGAGCTGGAGGCGGCCTCAGCTCGGGGGGCGGTGGTTAGACCAAGTCAGTGCTTCACAGACACCTGGTGCTGGTAAGAGTGGGTCCCAGGCTCCCCCGCGGCTCTGTGCACCCGCCCTGAACCTGCTCCGTGCTGGGGGTGCAGTGATGGTCTGAGACGGGCGCCCTCTCCCCCCTGCAAGGGCAGTGCTCCTGCCTCAGCGTCCTGCTGCACCCCTTTTCTCAGGACCCATTGTCCCAGGCCACTCCCCTGGTTTTTATACCCACGCAACAGGGAGTGGGGCTGGGGGAGCCCGGTAGCCCCTGTGGAAGCAAGGACTCTGAATCTTGGTACCCAGGGACGCAGGGGAGTGGTGAGATCTGATTCTCTGGCTGTGTTTCAGGGCCGGGGTGGGGGGGCACGAGTGGACATGGGAGGCCAACTGGAAGCTGCTGCTTTGGTCCAGGTGAGGGCAGGTGGCCGGGACCCACTGACTTGTCCTGGTCAACTCCATGTCAGCTTTGGAAGCCCGGTCCTGGGCTCTGGGGAGGGCGGGATCCACTGGATGTGGACGTAGTTGTGGGTGGCGACACAGGCAGGAACGGGGCGTGACCCCTGCTCTCGGCAGCCCTGTCCTCCAGGACCCCACGGCCCCAGCTGGGTGCAGCAGGAAGACCTGCAGGAAGGGGGCCACGTGTGCAGGGTTGCAGCCCCCAGAAGCGAGGCTGCCCGCTGAGTCTTCCCTGGCCGTCCCGTTACCTGGGTTTGAATTTGCACCCCTAGCTGGAAGCTGCCCCCAGAGTGAGATGGGGTCCTCATGTGGCAAAGCGCGCCCCCCCTCAGCTGGCCAGCCCTGCTGTGCACCCGTGCCTCCTCCACAGACAGGCCTCTGAGTCTAAACAGCAGGAGTGAGAGATGCAGGAGCATGCCGCCGGTTGAGAGCCTCAGCATTCGGGCACCATGAGGCACTGAGCACGAGGCCCCTGTGGACACTGATCTCAGAGGTATTTCCATCCTCAGAGATCCAGCCCCGCCCTTGGGGGAAGCCGGTGCACATTCCCGTTGTGGGCGGATCACAGAGCTCCATGGCTGACCTGACCACGTTACATGGCGTGTGTGAAGACTTCTCCTGGAAGTCATCTTTCTGGTCTAAACCATCTGCTGAAATCACTGATTTGAGAGGGACTGTGCGTGGAGACCCTTGTTTTCATGCTTCCTGACGAAGGAAGAGACGTTTCCAAGCTGTCTGGGAAAGGGGCTAAATGTGAGGCCGGCCCCATGTTAGCGGGGTCACGTTGTCACCAGCCTGCTGGTTTCTGCTGACTAACTGGGCTTCGTCTCTACACTCTACCCTGTGCTCCAGGCAATGGGCGTTTAGCGGCTGACGGTTTCCCTTCTGCTCAGCGCATCGCTTGGCCATGAAATCTGTGATCTGGGCTAATTAGACATGGCGACTCTTTGTTCCAAGCTGACTTCAGCAGATGGCTGATTTATTAACTTATTCAAACCCTGCTCAGCAAGCAAAGCGGCAGCACAGCCTGTCCTGCTCTGCTGTGTGGAATGTGTCTTAAATCGAGTCCTCTTGTAAACCTGGTGCTGTTTGGACATCCCCAGCACCAGCATCTGTCTCTGAAGAGTGGGTGGTGTGGGGGCCATTCTGCCTGCTCCTCCTCCAGGGTGCCAGCCTGCCCTTCACTCAAGGACGGCTCTGTGGCCTCCGGGAGGGGCCTGGAGGCAGGGGCAGCTGTGTCTGGAAGGGCCAGACACTGTCAGGAGCTTGAGCATGTTAGGGAGAATGGAAGGGGCTGCGGAGCCCCCCCAACCACCACCCGACCCCCCAGGCACCCCATCCCCTGCCAGTCTGGATCCTGCTGGCTCAGGGGCCACCCCCCAACCCAAGGCTTAGCTTAGAGGAAGCTGAATTAAAAATGTGGCTCTGCCTGCAGTTGGGCAGAACCTGCCTTCCGTCTACACCTTGGAGCCAGGAGAGGCCAGGGCAGGAGGCTCATGTATTGGCCCCATGCACCATCCAGCCTTCCTGGGCCGGGCGTCCACAGAGCAGAGAGACAGAGGCCACGAGGGCTTTGGGGCCCACACCTCCTCTTCCTCCACATCCACAGTTGCCTGTTTTAACACGAACCTTGCTCATCTTGTTGACGGGGTATGGGGAACCCGGGGCAGCTCTGCTCCTCCCAATACTCAGCAGAAGGCAGGGCGTAGAGGTGGCCTCTGTGGACCCCACTGACCGATTAGCCCCTGCAGACCAGCTGGGAGAGGGGAGTCCTACTGGGAGACTGGTCAGGGGTGTATGGTGTCCAGGAAGGAGGCCTCAGCCAGCCCCGCCTGGTTGGAGCCAGGGAGTCGTGAGCGGCCTGGACGTGGGACATGCGGCTCTCAGTCCAGGCCTTGCTTCAGGTCTCAGAGCCCGAGAGGCCGGCAGGGCTGCTCAGCGGGGGTCCCTCCTGACGCTTGTGCTCAAGTCACTCTGCCTGTCTCTATGGTAACTGCATCTTACCTGCCTGCGTGTGTGATTGTGTTCTGTTCTGCTTGTAGATGGAGGAGATAAAATTTAAAGACAGAGCAGTCTTCGTGCTGGAGAGAGAGTTAGGGGTTCAAGCCGGGCATGCTCAGAGACTCCAGCTCCAAAAAGAGGCTCTAGACGAGCAGCTGTCCCAGGTCAAAGAGACCGACCGGCACCCGGGCAGCCCCAGGCGGGAGCTTCCTCATGCAAGCGGTGCAGGAGACGCCTCAGACCACTCGGGAAGCCCTGTAAGCACCTCCCACGCTCGCCCGGCCGACCCAGAGCTCAGACTGCCCCGCACGCGGCTTGTGGTCCTATGGCAGCTCCCTGGGGAGTCCCGAGCCCAAGCCTTGGGGACTCTGCCCGTGTTGGCAGCCCACAGGCCAGGGGGACCCTCGGCTTCTCCGGCTTGGCTGAGAGGGCCCGGAGACGTCTCTCTCTTCCCTCCTTGCTGCCGCAGCTCAGCACGGGCCTGACCCTACCCTGGTCCCCCCCATGGGTCTCAAGCTCCAGGCTTCCAGTTGTGCTGCCTCCCCCGCCAGCCCCAGGTGGCTAAGGGGCCCTCCCTTGCTGCTGGGAGAGGTGGCCCGGCAGCTCCATCACCGCACGCAGGCTTTGTCCTCCGCTGGTGCTGACCCTCCTGCCGTGGTTTCTGTGCTCGTGACCAGCTGCCCGGCACCCGCTTTCCTTGTGAGCACGCCACTGTCCGCGCCTCAGGCTGCGTGACCGCATGGGGCTGTGACCCCACCCATCTCCTCTCACTGCTCCTCATTCAGAGCCCTCTGCGGGGTCCCGGGAGTCTGGAAGGGGTCTACATTCCATGGACCCTCCACACGGTCCTTCCGGGTCGGCCCCCAGCCTCTCCTGCACCTGCTGAATGAGGAACCGTCCCCTGGTCCTTCCCGGACTCGCGTCTGTTTGCTTTGAGGACAGAGCTGCGTTTGAGCCGAGCCAGTCCTAGGGCAATGATCTTTCAAGAATGGAGCATGACATTTTACAATCTTGTTATGTAATGGCTTAACTGGGTTAAAACCAGCTCTGGCACCCGACAGATCCCATTAACTCCAGAGATTCTGAAGCCAGATCAAAATGTTTTCATTGATTTTTTTTTTTAGTAAGTTCCAGTGGCTCCCAAAGTGACCTTTTAGAAACTCAATTTGAGGGACCACTCTTCCTGGGAATCTTCCTGGGAACCCCACTTTGGAAAGTTTTAAGCTGAACATCATTTCCTGGGCTCATAATATGAGGAAAATGAGACCCCCCGCTACAATGCAGGGCAGCCCCCCAACCTTGAAAGCTGCAGCCGGCAGTGGCCACGTGAAGCATGGTGCTGGTTTCTGGGTTTTCTCAGCGTCTTGCCCACCTGCGGCATCTGCATCCACACGCCCTCGCCCCTACATCTGCGTACTCTGAACATGTCTGCTCCTGCATTCTGTCCCCAGCGTGCAGCCTGCAGTGCCCCCAGCCATTAGAATTATGGGCCATCGTGACACAGAAGTGCCTTGGTTTCTGTGGTGTGTTGGGACCTGACATTGTGTCTGTTGTCTATGAACAGTTATTTGCAGTTGATTTTTGTTTTAGGAACAGCAGTTGGATGAAAAGGATGCTCGGCGTTTCCAACTTAAGATTGCGGAGCTGAGCGCGATCATCCGGAAACTCGAGGACCGCAATGCCCTGCTGTCGGAGGAACGGAACGAGCTGGTGGGTGGCCTCGGGCCTCTGAATTCTGTGGGCCTGTGTCTGCCATGGAGGGGGAGCTGGGGCATTCACTTCCAAAGTGTCCCGTGGAAAAGAAGTGATGGTGACAGGGTGTTTCCAATAAAACTTTATTAACAACAGCAGGTAGGAGACCAGATACGGGCTGAGGCGCTGGTTGGCTGATCCCTGCCCTGTGTCGCTGGTGCACATGTCCCTGTTCTGTGTGTTATCTGAGACGTGTGAGGACCTCGCCTGCTAGTGGCGCCCTCACCGTCAGTCTTTATGGCCACAGAGATTCCCCAGTGACCGGTCTGCTGGGACATGAGCTCTCCCAGGTTGCAGAAGGCTCACGGACTGGGCTGTTTCCCCATAGCTCTTTCAAGCAGAACAGAGTGCATCGCCAGACCTCTGTCCTCCGCGGAACACGAGGCTTGTTCTGCTTGCTTTACCACCTCTGTTTGGAGGCTTCTGGTTCTCTGTGGTGTTCTTTAAACCTCGTAATATATAATTAATCTCGTCTTTCAGTTAAAGCGTGTAAGGGAAGCTGAAAGTCAGTACAAGCCATTGCTGGACAAAAACAAGCGCCTCACTCGGAAGAACGAAGATCTGTCCCACAGCTTACGTCGGATGGAAAACAAGTTAAAATTTGTCACCCAGGAGAACATAGAGATGGTAAGGAGCCCATTCTCATGTAACTAGCCTCTCCTACGTGAGGTCTGATAGCAAGATCAAGGCTTTGGTCTCTCGGGCGTCTGTGGGGCTGGGAGCTTGCCGGCAGGGAGGCCTGGGGATGACCAGTGACAGAGCTTCTGAGGTACAGGCAGCCGGGATGAGGAGACCCCAGCTGCCCTTCAGCGGTCGGGCCCCTCACTCCACATGTGTGGTCTGTCTGGTTTGCAGAGGCAGAGAGCAGGGATCATTCGGAGACCCAGTTCCTTGAACGACCTGGATCAGAGTCAGGACGAGCGGGAGGTGGACTTCCTGAAGTTGCAGATTGTTGAGCAGCAGCATCTCATAGACGAGCTCTCCAAGGTGACTGCTGGGCGCCACCCTGCCCACTGGCCCCACTCCCGGACCCACCCCGCTCTGCTGCCCACAGGGCACCCTGCACCCAGGACGCGGGCAGAGTCTCTCTCAGGGGTTGGCTCCTGCCCCTCCTAATCCCCCCCTTCCTCACCTTCAGGCCTGGGGCTCTCAGAGCAGCAACACCGCCTGTGTCCACCCGGGGCCTCTCACAGCGCTGGAGGCGGGATCCAGAGTCAGGGTGGGGTAGGGCCGGGCTCCTGCCAGGGGTGCTGGGGAGGACAGGAAGCTTCCGACGGCCGCCAGTCACGTCCCTTTGGTCTCAGCCATCTTCCCAGCACTGCCCGCCCCCCCCCTCTGGGCACCATCCACCCCCACCCAGGATGGTCTCCTCTCAAGATCCATAACCTAGCCACATAGACCCCATTGCCAAACAAGGCCACAGCCCCAGGTCTGGGGATGGGTGTGGGCATGTCTTTCTGGGGACCCAACCTCCGTCTACGTCCCCCTCTCCTGCATCCCCCACCCCAGCACAGCTTTTCCAATAGTCCTTCCTCAGGCCAGTTACCCTCATTAGGGCATCTCCTAGTCCTCTGTGGGACCCAGACCGACTCCAAGGTCAGACTAGTTCAGAACCAGCTGCTTGGGCTGTTCTGTGCCCTTGGCGGTGGCGGGGAGGGGGCTGCTGAGGAGAGGACAGTGGCGGCGCTCTCTGTCACTTCCCATCCGGTGGTCAGGATGGGCTCTGGCCACCCAGCCTTCTGACGGGGCCTGAGGTCAGTGCTCTGGTCCCTTCAATGGCCAGTGACTGTCCATCCCCTCAGTAATAGGAATGCATGAGGGGAAGAGGGAAACGAAACCACCCTGGTTACAAATGCACCCCCACCCCTGCCTCTGACGGCTCTCCCCCTTGGGGCTTCGGCCTAGGGAGGAAGAACCAAGCCCAGGGAAGGCCCGCCCTCTCAGGGAATGGTCTGAGGAGAGCCATGAGAATCTGCATAGGGAAGCGGAGAGACCGGGGGCCGGCGGGACCCTGGGGGTTTGCGCGGGCAAGGTCTGTGCCCCCGTCTCCAAGGTGCCTCCTCTCTTCCAGACCCTGGAGACCGCTGGCTACGTGAAGAGCGTGTTAGTAAGTGCCCTCAGCATCCCTCCTACATCCCCTCCAGTTTCCTCACCATCCCCTCCTACAGCCCCGCCCACTCCCTCACCGTCCCTCCTACAGCCCCGCCCCCTCCCTCAGTGTCCCTCCTACAGCCCCGCCCACTCCCTTACTGTCCCCTCCTACAGCCCCTCTCCCTCCCTCAGCGTCCCTCTTACAGCCCCGCCCACTCCCTTACTGTCCCCTCCTACAGCCCCTCCCCCTCCCTCACCGTCCCTCTTACAGCCCCGCCCACTCCCTTACTGTCCCCTCCTACAGCCCCGCCCACTCCCTCAGCGTCCCTCCTACAGCCCCTCCCCCTGCCCTCAGCGTCCCTCCTACAGCCCCTCCCACTCCCTCACTGTCCCCTCCTACAGCCCCGCCACCTCCCTCAGCGTCCCTCCTACAGCCCCGCCCACTCCCTCACCGTCCCTCCTACAGCCCCTCCCCCTCCCTCAGCGTCCCTTCTACAGCCCCTCCCCCTGCCCTCAGCGTCCCTCCTACAGCCCCTCCCACTCCCTCACCGTCCCTCCTACAGCCCCTCCCACTCCCTCACTGTTCCCTCCTACAGCCCCGCCCACTCCCTTACTGTCCCCTCCTACAGCCCCGCCCACTCCCTCAGCGTCCCTCCTACAGCCCCTCCCCCTGCCCTCAGCGTCCCTCCTACAGCCCCGCCCACTCCCTCACTGTCCCCTCCTACAGCCCCGCCCACTCCCTTACTGTCCCCTCCTACAGCCCCGCCCACTCCCTCAGCGTCCCTCCTACAGCCCCTCCCCCTGCCCTCAGCGTCCCTCCTACAGCCCCTCCCACTCCCTCACTGTCCCCTCCTACAGCCCCGCCACCTCCCTCAGCGTCCCTCCTACAGCCCCTCCCACTCCCTCACCGTCCCTCCTACAGCCCCTCCCACTCCCTCACTGTTCCCTCCTACAGCCCCGCCCCCTCCCTCAGTGTCCCTCCTACAGCCCCTCCCCTGCCCTCAGCATCCCTCCTACAGCCCCTCCCCCTCCCTCAGCGTCCCTCTTACAGCCCCGCCCACTCCCTTACTGTCCCCTCCTACAGCCCCTCCCCCTCCCTCACCGTCCCTCTTACAGCCCCGCCCACTCCCTTACTGTCCCCTCCTACAGCCCCGCCCACTCCCTCAGCGTCCCTCCTACAGCCCCTCCCCCTGCCCTCAGCGTCCCTCCTACAGCCCCGCCCCCTCCCTCAGCGTCCCTCCTACAGCCCCTCCCCTGCCCTCACCGTCCCTCCTACAGCCCCGCCCACTCCCTCAGCGTCCCTCCTACAGCCCCGCCCACTCCCTCAGCGTCCCTCCTACAGCCCCGCCCACTTCCCGGGGCCACTGTGCCTATGTCCCTCCGGTGCAGCTGAAAGCAGCCGTGGCACACTGGGGTGGGGGTGGTTCCGTGGTCTCAGTGCTGCCTGCCCAGAAACTTTGCCGTGGTAACCGAGAGAGCCCACCCGTTAGGGTTGCACAGATGCCAGGGAAACAGCCAGTGTCCCAGGTGGTTTTTTTAGGTTCAGAACTGGGTTCCCCTCGCACCCCAGGGCACTCGGCCCCCGCGGCCTGGCTGACTCCTGCATGGTCCCACAAACGCAGCCTAGCACTCTGGAGAGAACAGGCCTGTCTCCACCGTGTGGACGTCACCCTGTAGAGGTCTACTCCAGGCGAGTGGAGAGAGCTGGACCCTCCGTCCTCAAATTTCCATTTCAGTGTGTGCCCCTCAACCCCCTGCCCCACAGGGTCCCAACCCTAGATGGGGAGGAAGTCCCAGACAGTGAACTCAGACACACCCAGGCCCCATTCCTGTTCCCGCCCAGGCTGGGAAGATGCACCATCCAAACTCTCAGAGCAAACTGCCCTGAGCTCGTCAACACTGGACCACCGGCTGGTCTTGAGACCACCCTGTCCACTCAGATAATGATCCGGAAATACTAACCTGTGCATTTAAACCTGGCAGAGCCGATTAACGACTCAAAAAATCTCCTCAACTGGTTTTTACAGGAACGTGATAAGCTTTTAAGATACCGGAAACAAAGAAAGAAAATGGCAAAAATACCCAAGGTAAACGAGTACATGAAATATGTATTTTTTAAAAGTCGTTTAACAGAAAAGAACCTCTTCCTTCAGAGGTGAAGAGAAAATGGTTTTCTTACTTCTAAAAATTGTTATTGTAACCAAAACAGGACCCAGAGCAAGTACTCTGTTTATACTTTAAATTAAAAAACCCAACCTGGTTTCCTTTAAATTTCCAAGAGATGTGGGTTCACAACAGTAATAATGAGGAGGAGGAGTTATCCACGGGCCTGGCCCTCCCACCGCTGGTGCCCGCATCCAGCCAGGACTGCAGGCAGCCTCCCTGTGTCCTTCCCCAGCAGACCTGTGCCCCTTGAGAACTTGATAGACCTGGGGTGTGTCTTTGAGGCACAGTTCTTTTTGATAAACCTGTGATTTTTATTAAATGAGATTTGGGAAACATTCCCAGAATATTCCCAAAGGATCTAACTTGTATCCTGCCTTTTACAAAATAACGTTTTTTGGTTTGGTTTTGGAACAACCAACAATGATCCTCATACAGGCCTGTAGACACTCCTAGGCCCAAATACAGGCTTGTCTGGCCCCTAGAAAGGCCGTTAGGAGGGCCGTGTCCCACTCTGCCCTCTACCAGCCTAGGTAAGATAGTGGAGGCCTTGGTCAAGGTTGGTGGCCTGAGCAGTGCCGGGGGATAGACACCCAGGGTGCCCAGGATAGATACCAGGTGCACCGGGGGGCAGCCAGGCAGCTGACCCCACAGCTGGGCAGCAGAGGAGGCCCCTACGGAGCTGGCAGCTCGGCCAGCCAGCGATCTGGGTTTGGATTAACACGGTCCCTTTTGGTCAGAAGCCGGTTGTCGTGGAGACCTTCTTTGGATATGATGAAGAGGCTTCTCTGGAGTCCGACGGTTCTTCCATCTCTTATCAAACAGACAGGACGGACCAGACCCCATGCACCCCAGATGACGACCTGGAGGAGGTAACCTCCCATGGGGCTTCAGGGCAGGCCTGCCTGGCTGTTCCTGTCCGCCTTCATGTCACTGTACTGGGTCCCCTCTGCAGAGTGGTATAGAGCGCTCCCACCCTCTCAAGGGGGGAGTCTGAACCACCCAGCAGCGGGTGGGCACCAGCACCCAGGGTGCAGGGTCAGGACCCCCTGGCTGGCAGGGGGCCCCAGCTGAGTCCCTGGCCCCAGCTGCTGGCCCAAGAGGCTCACCCAAGCAGCCAGCTCGCAATTCACCCCAGGGGTCAGGGCCTGTGTCCCGGGTCCCCGGGCGGAGGCATGGCTGACCGGTGTCTCCGTGCGCCTCTCCAGGGCATGGCCAAGGAGGAGACAGAGCTGCGGTTCCGCCAGCTGACCATGGAGTACCAGGCCCTGCAGCGGGCCTACGCGCTGCTGCAGGAGCAGGTCGGAGGGACGCTGGATGCAGAGCGAGAAGTTAAGGTCTAACTGACTTCCACTCCACGATGTTCCGGCTTCTGCCGGGCTCCCCGCTTGCCCCCCGGCCTCAGAAGGGACACGTGCGCCTTCCGGCCCAGGCCCTCCCCTCCCACGGTCACGGTCAGGCCCCAGGGATGCCAGTCTGGCGGTCACTTGGCAGCGGGTGGGCCCAGGCCAGGGTGGGCTGCCCTGCCCTCCTGAGTTGAGGCATCTCACATCCTGTGCCCGGCGGCCCCACCGCTCTCATCCATTTGCCCTGAAAGCCATTCCCAGGGAGCCAGGGCGCCCATGGAGATGAAGTGCCCTGCAGCCTGGTCCCTGTGACAGCAAGTGGACTCCAGGGAGGGCGGAGCCTGTAGGGGACAGGCAGGCTGGGCAGGGGACGCTCATGCCGCAGGGAGCCCAGGGCTTCTAAAGGAGGACAGGCTCGGGAAGAAAGGGGAAGCAAGGTCCGGGAAAGGAGATGAACCCAGGGCGGCCAGAGGCTCCAGAAGGGAAGGGAGGTGCCTGGGGGCTGTGCCGGGCAGGCCTCTCAGCCACCCGGCTGTATGTGTCCTAGTCTCTGTCGTCCCTGGGACTAAGCCAACCCCCTCCAGCCAGCACCCAGCTGCTCAAGCCTCCTCTTTCATCCTGTAAATGAGGATTTCCCCAATAATCCCCCAAATGAACCCACCAATCATCCCCTGTAATCTAAGCGAAGTCACTAACCCTCCAAGTTCTCCCTTTATCCCAGAGCAGTCCTTGCTAGCAGACAGCATCCTGGAAGTCAGGTCTGAGGGGGCCGCTCCGCTCTTAGGGAAAGTTTGATGTATGTCTCCTCCCATCCTACAGACCCGTGAGCAGCTGCAGGCGGACGTGCAGAGGGCGCAGGCGCGGATCGAGGACCTGGAGAAGGCCCTGGCCGAGCAGGGGCAGGTGAGCGTGTGGGCCTGGGCCCCAGGGTCCTGGGCTGCCGTGCCCCCAGTGAGGGCGGTGGTCTGCGGGTGTGTACATGGGTGAGGACTCTTCGTCTGCACGCTGAAGACTCGCTCCCCAGCTCCCTCTGCTGTGTATATATCACACCTCAGTAAAAGATTTAAAGGCGGAAGCAATGTGTATTTGGAATATTTCCACAGTATGCCCGGAACGAGGCACGAATTCTCCTGACCAAGCCTCTCTGGGCTTGACCGGAAGTCCCATCCACCTCCATGCTCAGGGCCGGGAGCCCAGGCCCCAGGGCTTTGTCATCACTCCCCTCAGTCCCTGGGACTGCCAACACCTCTGGGCTCCTCAGATCCCAGGGAAGGGCCTCCATCTGTGGTCTCTGAGCAGCCCCCTGACCTGTGGATGGTCCAGCTGCAGCTGGACGCAGGATGAGGCCAGAAGACGTCTATGGGGGCTGGGAGGGTGCGGGTGAGAGACGGCCTGGCTTGCAGCCGAGCGCAGCGCAGACCCACAGAGGCCCTGGGGTGTCAACTGCTCGGTGGTGCACGGCTGGACGGACAGGGCAAGAGCCTGAGTGACAGCCCGGCCTCGGTGCCACATCCTCACCTGAGTGTCTGGGGCCCCCGAGTCCAGTGCGGAGGCCCTTGCAGTCACCCAGGACCACACCTGTCCTCTCCACGCCAGCTCAACCCCCTGGCTCCCGCTGGCTATGTGTCGGGGTCCCCTGGACCTGTGGCGTCCATGTGGGCACCTGGCCTTGGCTCACACGAGCCTGGGTGCCATCCACTTCTATTTGAGACCCTCCAAGAATACAGATGAACCTGGGTTTTCATCAGCCACGGGACAGGCGCTCCACTCTTGGTTACTTCGGAAGCTGGATGTTGAGTCCTTTCACCACGTCCTCTGTCCTGCTGAACCGTGATGTAAATCACAGCTGTATCCTTCACTGCATTTATTTCTCGGCTTCAATTTCCTTTTCAAGGATATGAAGTGGATTGAAGAGAAGCAAGCACTGTTTCGGAGAAATCAGGAGTTGGTGGAAAAGGTACACCCCCCCATCCCATCTGTCTGAGAGGCGGGCTGCTTCCCTGGAAAGGCAGGAATCCCCACCTGCCCACCCGCTGCCCAGGGCTGGGGACCCACCCAGTCTCTGCCGGAAGGCCCTCTGTGGACTCACCCTGGAGGGAGGGCTCTGGACGGGGCCCTGGGCCAGGCAGCTGTCCCTGCAACGCCAGCAGCTGTCAGGGGAGCCGGGTTGGCCTCCGGTGACCTCCAGGGTGCCTCCTGTTCTTTGTTTTACAGATTAAACAAATGGAGACCGAAGAGGCTCGGCTAAAACACGACGTCCAGGATGCGAAGGACCAGAACGAGCTGCTGGAGTTCCGGATCCTGGAGCTGGAGGTGTGGGGCGTGGGGGGCCGAGGATGGGGGGGGGGGGCAGGGGCGGGCGGGTGTGGCAGAGAGCTGTCCCAAGCCACTGCCACCCAGGCTGAGTCCCGCCCTGTCACTTGGAGGAAGACAAAAAACAGCAGCAGCATCCGCACACAGCCCCAGCCCCTCGGGGCACCAGACAGCGGGGCTTCCCAGGCGGGAGCCAGTCCCGGGGCCATCTGGGCTCGGAGCTCCCCTGTCGCTCCCGTCAGCGTCCACTCAGGCTGTCCCCTGGGCAGGTCCGAAGGGTGTGACCAGTGCTGCGGCAGCCAGGGTCTCATTTTCACAAAGACCACGTTGATTGTGTTCAGTGGACTTCGTATTCTCACGGTGTCCCCGGGGGGCCCCGCACTGCCCTCCCAGGAGGGAGGGGACACCCGTGTGCCCAGCCTTCTGCTGTCTGTCTTAGGAGAGGGAGAGAAAGTCGCCGGCCATCACCTTCCACCACACCCCCTTCGTGGACGGGAAGAGCCCCCTGCAGGCATATTGTGAGGCAGAAGGCGTGACGGTAACGTCCTGGCCCCGCCCTCCCGCCTGCCTTGGCCCCCTTTGCTTCCACGCCCCCACACGATCCCCACGCCCCCCACATCCCCCACGCCCCCACACGCCCCACGCCCCCCACGCCGCCACGCCCCCACACGTCCCCCACGCCCCCCACGTCCCCCACGCCCCCATGCCGCCCCACGCCCCCCACGCCCCCACGCCGCCCCACGTCCCCCACGCCGCCACGCCCCCCACGCCGCCACGCCCCCACACGTCCCCCACGCCCCCCACGTCCCCACGCCGCCCCACGCCCCCCACGCCCCCCACGCCCCCCACGCCCCCACGCCGCCCCACGTCCCCCACGCCCCCACGCCTCCCCACGTCCCCCACGCCGCCACGCCCCCACACGTCCCCCACGCCCCCCACGTCCCCACGCTGCCCCACGTCCCCCACGCCGCCACGCCCCCCACGTCCCCCACGCCCCCACGCCCCCCACGTCCCCACACGCCCCCACGCCCCCACGCACCACTCCCCCGCCCCGCCCCAGCGCCTGGCCCAGCACGGCTGTCTCTCTGCTTCTAGGACATCCTGGTCTCGGAGCTGATGAAGAAGCTGGACCTGCTGGGGGACAACGCCGTAAGTGTAGGTCGCTCTCCTGACTCGTGCATGCCTCCCCGCGCGCCGCCCTGCACGGCCCAGGGCCCCTGTGAGTCCCGCGGTGCCCGGCCCCTGCCCCGCGCTCCCGCCTCCGGAGCTGCTCACCAGCCCTCAGGCGTTCACGAGAAATCCCGTTCTTTCTCACAGTGTTCCCGATTCCTCCAGCAGCGATGCTTCTGGCCCCGTGTTCTCAGTTTCTGAACCCCTCTCAGTCTTGAAGTTCTTCCGCATCCTTGGTGGGGCTGGGGGCTGGGGCTCCTTGGGCTGCCTTCAGTTCAGTTCAGTAACTCAGTCCTGTCCGACTTAGACTGCTGGAACTCAGGGCTGCCCACCTAGTTTTGGCGGAGGGGCAGCGCCTATGAATAATCTCCGAATCTCACTTAGGGCAGAGTCCTGATCTCTACAGTGAGTTCCCCAAATGAATGGGAATTGCTGAATGAGTGCGCCCCTCCGTCCACCCTCCGACCATCGTCTGTCCTCCGCCAGCCTTCCGTCTGTTCCCTGTTCACCCCCCACGCCCCCTCCTGTACTTGTTAAGCCCCTGCCGGATGGTGGGGGGACCGGCTGTGCTGGCAGAGGGCCCCGCCCACACCCCAGACTGTCCCTCATGAGTGCTCAGCCTCCTGTGAAGCGCCCTGGGCTCCACATCTGCTCACTGTTCTCAAGAGAGATCAAAGCACTAGGATCGGTGCACTGCACGGGAGAGGTGGAGGAAAAAAACGCACGCGCGCGCGCACACTCTATCACACTCACGCGTGTATACCAGAACCCAGGCGCTTCTGCACACCCTCAGGCCCCGTTCTCCCAGCAGCTTCTGAGCGTCCAGGGCCCTGCGCTGACCTTCCCGCCCTTTAGGTGGGAAGCAGGAAGAGGGGAGGGTGGGGCGGCTTCCACAGGGAGGTGCTCCTGGCCGAACCTGCCGCGCCCCCACCCCGGGTCGGACCCCTCGCTCCACCTCGGCTGCGGGCAGCGGAGGCAGCGGTCCACAGCAGGATGGCCGTCGTCACCGTGGGCTCCGGGCTCAGCCTGAGTACCAGCCCTGCCCAGGGCTCCGGGGCCTTTCAGTTCACCGCTGGACAGACTGAGGCCCCAGAGGGCCCCGCCCAGGGGCTCAGAGCTGCTGTGTTGGCCCGCGAGAATGAGCCCAGGCCTGCCCAGTCCCCCAGCCCCGCAGCTGCCCCCCGGGAGCGCCAGGGGCGCGTGCCCTGGAGCCGTCATGTGGCCTCAGAGACGAAGACAGAGGGCTCGCTGCCAGCTTTATGCAGTGGCCCTCGGTGGCTTCCGAAGGGCCATGGGGCATCCCCAGGCCTGACGCTGTGCATGTGGACACACTTCAGGCAGGGGCAGGGACAGCCTGCCTCCGTCACCGTCTCGGCCAGGGCACTGGGAGGCCGTGGCCACCATTCTCCAGGCCACTCCTGATGAGGCTGCGGCCTGCCGCTGGCCACGGGGCACCTGAGCACCTCGGTCTCCTTAGGAGTCGGGGCCTGTGGCGTGGAGCAGAGAGGCGGGCGGGGGCACCACAGACCTGTCCCCCCTGCTGGGCTCACCACTGCTGCCCTGGCAGGCAGGACGGACGGGTCACCCGGGGGAGGCGGAGAGGGCCCAGGTCGCGGCCACCTCTGGGGGAGCAGGAGGGGCCCGGCCAGGCTGCTCACCCGGTGCACAGCGCCAGCCCTTCAGGCTGGTCTGACCACATGCTGGTAGCTTCCCTCAGTCACCCTGCAGCCCCCCACCCAGTCCCACCCCTCAGACCTGGCCCTGCCCTGGGCGGGAGGGGACTGCCTGGCTAGCCTCCCTGGAGCCACAGGGATGGGATGCCCAACTCCAGCACCATGGCATGTCAGGGTGCAGCATGCCCGAGCACAGAGCCTGCCTCTGTGCCCAGCAGCTGGCCACCAGCCCCCACCCGTGCTGACTGCTGCCAGGGCAGGGGGCTGGCAAGAGACCCCATGCTGCAGAGGGAGAGAGGCAGGAGGACTTTTGGGGCAGATGGCCTTGAATCAGGCAGGTTCTGGGGTGTGGGGGCCGCCCTCAACTCTGTGACCCCGGCAGGCTCCTTGCCACTTGCCTCTGCTCTCCATGACCGCCCGGCAGCCCCCGGCTGGGCCCAGCCCTGGAGACAGCCCAGCTCGTCCCCTCCAGCCCCTGGTGTTCATGCAGGTGGGACACCCTCTGAGGAGGCCCGCCGGCCCGAGGCCAGGGTCACCCTGCCCAGAAAGACCACCCCAGTGGGCCCGTTGGGATGAGGCATGAATAAAACACGCAGGGAGAAGGCAAAGCAGCAGGGATGTTTGATCTTTGCTTCACATTTGTAAGCGGTGCTTTAATAATTTAGGCCACACGTGAGGAGAGCTGGCTTTGAGTAAGAATCCGGACAGAGTACAGAAGCCTGGCTGCTCTTTCCACCACCCACCGTCCCATCCTGCTCCCTGGCCACTTAGGCGTGGTCGCCTGCAGTGAGAGGGCCAGAGGGGCAAGCCAGAGGCTCTGTGGGAGTCAGCAAGGCCAAGAGCGAAGGGGGTTAGAGCCTCCCAGGAGGGCCTGTTCGTGACAGTGACATTTAGCTGTGACCCCAGCTCCCCCATGCCCACTGAACACTGGTCACCCACCCCTTCTGAGCGCCCATCACCCACCGCACCCAGCCCCGTCACTCACCCCCACCAAGTACCCGTCACTCATCCCCCCCCACTGAGCACCCATCGCCCACCCCCACCAAACCCTATCACTCAACCACCCAGCGCCCGTCACCCACCCCCCATCCCCACCCAGCGCCCATCACCCACCCTACCAAACCCTATCACTCATCCACCCAGTGCCCGTCAACCTGCCCCCCCAGCCCCATCACTCACCCCCCACCCAGCCCCTCACTCACCCCCCAACTGAGCACCCAACACCCACCCTCAACAAACCCTGTCACCTCCCCACCCCACCCAGCGCCCATCACCAAAACCCACCACCCCAGAAAGCACTCCCTCTGATCATACGAGAATTCTGCTCTTGAATGCAGAATCTGACCAACGAGGAGCAAGTGGTTGTCATACAAGCCAGGACAGTCCTGACCTTGGCCGAGAAGGTAACAGTGGACGCGCTCGGGGGAGGGCCGGGTCCCTCTCTGGCTCAGTTCAGAGGAGATGCTCTCCTTGGGAGGGAGGGCCCCCAGGGGCTAGGATGGGAGCTGGCAGTGGGGGGGCGGCGGGGTCCACTAAACCTGGCTGCTCGGGAGGCCTGGGCACACACATGGGTCAGACAGCACCCACCATGCATGTCTCCCCAAGGCCAGCTCTGCCCCGATTTCCCCAGAGGCCAGAGTCATGGTGGGTCTGTTAGAGAAATTCAGAGAGTGAGCCCACGCTGGTCACACCGGGCACAGGCCCTACCCAGGCAGGCCTGAGTCCACGTGGCTCCTGAGACACATGCAGGCCGCGGAACACCCTCCCCGTTTCTGCCCAAACCTGCACGGCCGGGCGTTCCAGCGGCCGTGCTGCACTCACCTGGTTTGCCTCTGCTTGCCCTGCCGGGACCCTGCTCTGGGGACCGCCCACCCGGCTCCCTGCCCTCCAGTTTCTCTGCTCCCAGGACCACCCGCCTGCTCCTGGTTGCCCGCCCCCGCCCCACCTGTAGCCAGAACCTGCTGGTAGGCCTGCGGTGAGCGCCCCTGTCCCACAGGCCTCCAGCAGGGCGTGGAAGGCTGTCCCCATAAGTAGGAGTTCAGAGGCCAGCTCCTGGGAGCACAGGCTGCCTGATACCCCTCCTCTCCCGGGGGTGTGGGAGGGCAGGCTCCCTGGATGCCAGGTGGGGCTGTGGGATGGGCCCAGGCCTGGCCTGCATGCTGGGCACACGGAGCCCATGATGCCCTCTCAGCCCTGATTCCCGCAGGGGCTGAGCCCTCCCTCCCTGAGGAAGAGCAGAAAGGACAGGGGCGCCCCCCCCGCCCCCAGGCCATGTCCCCAGAGCTGGGGAGGTGGGCTCTGCTGACCGAGTGGTGACCTCGGGGCTCACGGTCGCTGGGACCCTCTGTCTGTACCCAGTGGCTGCAGCAGATCGAGGAGACGGAGTCGGCCCTGCAGCGGAAGATGGTGGACCTGGAAAGTGAGAAGGTGGGTGCACGCCTGGGCCCGCAGCCCCGTGCCACCACGTCCGACATGCGAGGCCCAGACGCGGGTCCCCTTGTGTTCCAGGAGCTGTTCAGTAAGCAGAAGGGCTACCTGGACGAGGAGCTAGACTACCGGAAGCAGTGCTTGGACCAGGCTCATAAGGTGAGCGCAGCATGGCCCGTGGAACGCCCGGCCATGCGGGTTTGGGCAGAAACGGGGAGGGTGTTCCGCAGCCAGCATGTGTCTCAGGGGCCACGTGGACTCAGGCCTGCCTGGGAAGGGCCTGCGCCCGGTGTGACCGGCTTGAGGTCACCCTCTGAATTTCTCTTGCTGGAGACCCCTCGCCCAGTGAGTTCCGAGGGCACCTTACTGCCCCTTTGGCCAGCCTTGGCCCCAGGAGTACAGGCAAATGAGCAGAGGTCAAGTGGGTATTTGAATTGAGCTGCAAAAACAGGATTTATTGAAACGATGCATTTATGAATGGAAGGAACATAGCTGAGTGTCTGTCCGTCCTCTCTCCCTGCCCACCGGCATGGCGAGATGCTCACCTGTCCTTTGCACACCTGCCTGCTCTGCAAGAGACCTGTCCCCAGACGAACCCAAGAGGAGGCCCCGTGTGGGGTCGACCCCTAGAGCCGGGCCTCTTCTCCACCACGTCAGTGAGCCCTCACTGAAGTGAGCTGGAGGACGCGGGAAGAAACTTCATGCACCTCAGGCAGCCTTGCTGTTTCAGGGCGGCCCCCGAATCAATGCCACACTTAGCTCCTCAGACTGGGCTCAACAGGGCTGCTTCCTGCAGGAGCGGGGTCCGCACTCCCTCTGCAGCCGTGAGCGCACCTGTGGGTCAGACTCACGGGCAGGACGGTCCTTCCCGGCGGTGTGGGCCTCTGTGCCCTGCCTGCAGAGTGCGCTGTGAGTGGGTGCTGTCACGTGGCCTACGGCGGTGGCTGGAGGAGCAGAAAGCGTCACCCTGGGACGGCGGGTGGGGGCTCCGTCACACAGCCCCGAGGGACGCCGTGGGGCCGCGGAGACGCTGGGTCCTCCCTCGTGGGATGACTGTCGGGGCTGCTCCCCGTGTGCCGTCGTCCGGGGCCCCCTCTCTGCAGTGTTGGCAGGAAGGCTGCACAATGTGCTGTCCACCCTGGTTTTCTCTTTCTTTTCTCTTGTGGCCTCACTGGGTCCCCCTTGAGGCACACGGGCTCCCCATGTTGCTGCGGGAAGGCTTCTCTCATTGCCCCACAACATGTGGGGTCTCAGTTCCCCAACCAGGGGTCGAACCTGCATCCTCTGATCCGGAAGGCGGATGCTTACCCGCTGAACCACCAGGAAAGTCCCCAACCCTGATTTTCTTGACTCCGGAGTTAAGCCTGCACTTCCTGCTGGACAGTTAGCCATTTTATCTGCCGCTCACAGAACCCCGTGCAGGAGGGGGCAGCTGCCCGCCTTGGGATGTCTTGGCAGGGAGGCCTGCCAGCTTTCACAGCCTCCTGCTGTAAGCACTGGAGCCACAGCTGGGATTTCAGGGGGAAGGGCGATCCTTACTCTGGGGCAGGCCCTGGGCACAGAGCCGAGTTCTGGGCATCTGGGTGGCCGTGGCTCAAGCTGCTGCATCGAGTGAGCAAGGTCAGACCATCTCTGCCCACAGGCTGGGGGTGAAGTCACTGTGATGTGAGAGCTAAGCCCCACACTCAGCTGCCTTTGTTTGAAAGTGGAGCTTATCTTAAACGCACTAAGCTCTTTTGCTCTAAGAAGTGGCAGCTGATGTGTGGTGTGAGCTGGCTGTGACAGCTGACCGGGGACAGTTGATTTTGTGGCTGTCAAGAACAATAACGTGAACAAAGTGCTCTTTCCCCCCATTTCCTAAAATGTCTACTCAGCCAAAAGGACGTCCAGTAGTCATTTTGCCTGAAGAGAAAACATGCATTTGTGAGGAATGTTGACCTGAAAAATAGTCACGGCCTAAAAATTAACAGTTATGTTTTATTCAGTGGAAACTTTTAGGACCTAAGCCCAGGAGGCAGCATCTCAAGTGACCCTGAGAGAACAGGTCAGAGGAGGCAAGTGAAAGTCAGTCAGTCGTGTCCACCTCTTTGCAACCACATAGACTGTACAGTCCATGGAATTCTCCAGGCCAGAATACTGGAGTGGAGAGGAGTGGGTAGCCTTTCCCTTCTCCATGCGACCTTCCCAACCCAGGGATCAGACCCAGGTCTCCCGCATTGCAGGCAGATTCAGTTTTGCAACAAAGGGCAGGTAGTCTGAGCATCAAAAGATTATTGTGAAGTAAAGAAGACAATATGACCCAAGTTAAGGAATTTAGTGCCTCCCTGTGTATGGGAAGATGCGAGAGTCTGGGCTCACTGCAGCCGTTCCTTCCCCGCGCACCTCTGCTGCCCCGGGCCGGGCCGGGGTCCTGCGCTTTTCCCTTCCTGAGCTTCCCTGGGGCTCACCGTGGGGAGCGGCTGCAGGCTGGTGGCTGCTAGACGGCAGGCGTCCTTTCCTTCCTGCGCCTCCTCAGGCTCACCGGCACACGCTGGAGGGCTGCAGTCACTGATGACTGTGACATCCTTACGTACTGATACGACAGGACATATTCCGTTTCTCGGGCGGGTACATGCTTGATGGGAAGAATGTGGTTATTTCAAGATTGTATCTGTGAAATTTCCCGAGGAAGAAGCTTTGAAAGTGCTCCAGGCCGAACTGCTGGGTCCTCAGCCATTTATGACCAGGTCTGTGCTTTGGTGCCTGCTGGCAGTACGGGAGATTGAGCAAGCTCTGGGAGACGGCGAAGGACAGGGAGGCCTGGCGTGTGGCAGTCCATGGCGTCGCAGAGTCAGACACGACCTACTGACTGAACGGGGAGCAGCAGCCTAGCAGGCTCTCTATGATGAGCCCCCGGGGGCGCAAGGGCTGGGCTGGAGCCCCCCCGTGTCTGAACCCTGCTCTCCCCCAGCAGGCCCTGTGCAGCTGGCCCAGCCCAGGGGTCTCTGCAGCCCGCCTCAGCATCCTCACCATGAGCCAGGGCTGACGAGGGTGCCTGCTGCCTGGAAGGGGGGCCTGGAGGGCTTCGTGCAGTGAAGCCTAGGCCAGTGCAGCACACCCAGGCATTGTGGGTGGGGCGCCGTTAGCCGTGCCATGGACAGAGGAGAGGAAGCTGTGAGGCAGGCAGAGGCTGGGCACGCGGGGCGTGAGGTGAAGGTGAGGCCTTGTGTGCAGGCAGCAGGGAGGAGGACAGACAGACAGACAGACAGACAGACAGAAGGGAGGGGACATGGGGCAGGCGTATGCACCGTAGTCTGGAGGCCCGAAGCCTGACCACAAGGCGCTGGCTGGGCCATGCTCCGTCAGAGGACTCAGGGGAGGCCCTCCTGCCTGTTCCAGCTCCTAGGGCCTCAGTTGTTCTGGGCTTGTGGCCACGCCACCCCAGTCTCTGCCTCTGTTGTCACCTGGCTTCCCCTCATCATCAATGACTGTCACCAATCCCCTCTTCTTCTGAGGTCATGAGTCAGTGGATCGAGGCCCCTAACCCAGTCTGATCTCCGGTGCGCTGGCTGACATCTATGGAGACCTTATTTCCTAATGACCCATGTTCACAGGTTCCAGGGGTTAGAACTTGACGCTTCTTTGGGGGCAGGAGTCATCCCCACAGGCGGTGCTGGGGCCATAGAGATGACAGCCTGGCCCCTCTGCATCACTGCAGACAAACCCGTGGGGACCGTCCTTCCTCCTTTTAGCTACTCAGAAGCCCAGGGTTTGGTGAAGTTGTGAGCAAAGGAAGAAGCCTTTGTGGTCTTTCCTCAAGGGACGCCTGCCCAGTCCACGGCCCGTTTGGCCGACCTCCTACTGCAGCTTTGAATTCTGCTGACCCCGACGTCCTTAATGTTTCATTGCACCTTAAACATCGCAGGAAGGGATGCTCTTGACATAAGTACTCCTGGACTGGCTCCACCCTCCAGAAATCATTTAACTGGTCCAGGAGGCAGCAGTCCCCTCTTTGGGCTGGTCCGGAGGTGTCCTGGCTCCTAGGTGGGGTGCCTCGGCCCCAGGCAGAACTCAGGGAAGAAGGCGGGGCCTGACGTGTCCGCTCCCACCCCCAGCACATCCTGGAGCTGGAAGCCATGCTGTACGATGCCCTGCAGCAGGAGGCCGGGGCCAAAGTAGCCGAGCTGCTGTCGGAGGAGGAGCGTGAGAAGCTCGGGGTGGCGGTGGAGCAGTGGAAGCGCCAGGTCATGAGCGAACTGCGCGAGCGGGACGCCCAGATCCTGCGGGAGCGCATGGAGCTTTTGCAACTGGCACAGCAGGTGCGGGAGGGGCGTGGCGTTGCGGGGCGGGGCCTACGGGAGGGGCCTATGGGAGGGGCGTGGCGTTGCGGGGCAGGCCTACGGGGGGGCTATGGGAGGGGCCTATGGGAGGGGCGTGGCGTTGCGGGGTGGGGCCTACGGGGGGCCTATGGGAGGGGCGTGGCGTTGCGGGGCGGGGCCTATGGGAGGGGCGTGGCATTGCGGGGTGGGGCCTGCGGGAGGGGCCTATGGGAGGGGCGTGGCGTTGCGGGGCGGGGCCTGCGGGAAGGGCCTATGGGAGGGGCGTGGCGTTGCGGGGTGGGGCCTGCGGGAGGGGCCTATGGGAGGGGCCTATGGGAGGGGCGTGGCGTTGCGGGGTGGGGCCTACGGGAGGGGCCTACGGGAGGGGCGGGGCGCCACGGGGCCAGGGGTGCCGGGCTGGGGGAGGCCTTCTCATGGCCTCGCCTTCTGCTGGCCATTACTCCAAGGACCATACCTCCCTGGCCAGGGCTTTCCACTGGCCGAGCCCTCCCCGGTGCCCATGCACCCAGTGGCCATCCTCTCCACTAGCCTTGCCCACGGGGGGCCCTCCTCCCAGACTGTCCCTCCAGACCAGCCTGTTGGGCTGTCCTGCCCAGGCCTCTGGGTGGTACATACCCCTTCTGGGACCCCGATACCAGTCTCTTCCCTGGCTCCTCCCTCAGTGGTAAGATCCAGAGAAGGTGTTGTCTGGGGGACAGTGAGCAGTTCCTGGACCTGGGACTTGGGAACCTTCTTCTGACTTTCAGGCACTTGGGGCCCTTGGACCAGTCTGGCCAGTCTGTTTTTCTGGCCAGTTCATTTCTAACGGGGGATGAGCGATCCTGGCAGACTAGCAGCCTTCGTGTGTAAGACTTGCCTCCAGTCCCCTGTGTGTGTGGTGTGGCCTGGAAGGAGCCTCGTGGCTGTGTTCCGTGTTCAGATAAACTAGTGAACGCAGGCGTCCTGTGAGTGTCAGGGCTGATGTCTCACCAGAGGACTGTTGGCTGCCAGGACCCTTGCTGTCAGATCCAAAGTGGTCAGTGTGAGGACCCCTCACTCCCATCAGATGGGCAGTGTCAGAGTCTAGGTGCATCCAGGGTCTAGGCCAGGCATCCAGGTCAGGCGTGGATATACATGTCCATCTGACTGACTGTGCGCCACAGTGAAGACCAGGCTTTCCAACTGTGGGGCCAGCCTTGCCAGCAAAGTCCTCCCCGTGACTGGCTCTGCGACCCTTCAGTCTGCTCCTTGGACTGCTGTAGCGACGTCTGGGAAGGACCATGAATCGGTCCCTTACCGTTTGCTTGGGCTCTAGCATTGTGATTTGTGATCTGAAGGTGCAGGAGGTGGGAATGTGGCTGGGGAAGGGGTGGGGGGGGGGGGTACCTGCTGTTTTGTTGGCGCTAAGAGCAGACTCAGAAAGGCTATGTCAGAGAAACTGAGGTAGGCACGTTTCAGCCGAGGCCCCAGAAGTTGGTGGGGAGGGCGGCCCAAGGCCCCACCTGCTCCCCGAGGCCGGTGTGACAGCTGCTCTGTGGGATTTGCCTGCCGAGTGCATGGGTGAAGATCCTGAGGGATCTTTTCCCACTTGGTTTCCCAAATATTCTGGTTATTGAGGATTTTCCTCCTTTGAACATTGCAGAGAATTAAAGAATTAGAAGAAAGAATAGAAGCCCAGAAGAGACAAATAAAGGAACTGGAGGAAAAGGTAAGGAAGGTCAGTGTGAACTTCGGGGCTGACACACAGAGGCGGGCAGTAGCTCCTGGCGTCACGCAGCACTGGTCTGAGGCTGGGGTGCTGTCGGGCAGAAAGAGGCTCCGAACCAGGGACTGGAGCACGGGGTCTGGGAACACCCTGTCCTTGATGACCCAGCCATGCCACCCCCGGGACCATGCTTCTCACGGCCTCCGTGTCCCAGCTTCGGAGGTACCTGTGGCCCAGCGACCGGGGCCCTTTCGTGCGAGTGCTTTACTGTGGCTGCTGAGCTGGGAAGCCGTGGGTGCTGGGGTACAGCTGGTTTGGGGCCATGTGGCTCGGGGTCAGGGAGGACCGCCCAGCCCTTCCCCCAACCCCTGGCTCTGTGAGTCCAGGACAGAGTGCCCATCCAGGGTGGATGGAATGCCTGTGGGGACAAGCCTGGCTCTTTCCTGGGGGTTTCTCTGAGTTCTAGGACAGTTGGATGTTTTATTTTTAATTTAAATTTTCTGTGTGTGTGACTTAGGATGTTTCAATGGCTTCTCGTGGGCTTTCCTGGTTCAGCAGTAGAGAACCTGCCTGCAATGCAGGAGACGTGGGTTCAATCCCTAGGTTGGGGAGATCCCCTGGAGAAGGAACTGGCAACCCACTCCATATTCTGGCCTGGGAAACCCCGGGCACAGAGGAGCCTGGTGGGCGGCCCCTCCGCACGCAGCCCCTGGAGCCGGCTCCCCGCCCCCGCCCTGCCCACCCTCCTGTGGACCAAACCAGCCCCTTCCGTGGGCACTCTGCCGCCATCTGCCGGACAGTCTTGGTGGGAACTTGCAAATCCGAGCCCGTGACGCCCCTGGAGCCCTGTGGGTGGGGCACGACTTGCCAGGCAGAGAGGAACCTGGGAGGGGAGGCGTGCCTGCCCCCTGGGTGGGTGCCTACAGGCACCAGGCTCGCGGGGGCGGGGCGCTGGGGAGGGGAGGGGAGGGGAGGGGAGGGCAGTGCACAGCCTGGAGGCGGTGCAGTCCCTGCCTCCTTTTGCATCTTAAAGTGAGAGCATTTGTTTGTATTAAATGCTCGAATTTTTTAAATTGGGTGTTTACTCTTTTAATCTAGCTGAAGAGTCTCCGCTTTTCCAAGCAGCTGTACCGCGGCCAGATTTTCTCTTGTGTCTAAATTGGCTGGGCCCCGCCCCCAACCAAAAAGGAGGGTTTCTGAGTGTGAAATCTATTCAGCATGCTGGCTGTGCTTTATCACTTACAGTGGGACTGAAACCCAAATATTGTCCCGGAGTGCTGGTGTTTGCCTGGCACTTGGCACGTCTTTCCATCCGTAAGACTTCCATCATCATTATAGCCAGTTAGCACCCTCACCATCACCCGGCGACAGGTCCAGATGGGCCAGTCCCCACTCCCCCCAACCCAGAGGCAAGGTGACCAGCAGAGGCTCCCTCCTTACTGTCCTCTGGACGGTGCGGGGCCCCAGGGCACAGCCCCCAGGGACAGACAGCGTGGTCACTTCAGACCCAGGCATCCTCACGGCCCCTGGCAGCTCAGCCCTTAACCCGCTGGATACAGCGCGCCAGGACCCGCTCCTGACCCCCGGCCAGCTGTTCTGCGTTGCTCTGTCTGTGGTCACACGTTCGTTCTTGCCAGAAACTCTACAAACTCTCTTTTCTTTCTTTCCTTCCATGTCTCCGCCCTCCCCTTTCCTTTTCAGTTTCTATTTTTGTTCTTATTTTTCTCCTTAGCTTTCATTCTGTGGTCATAGCTCGCCTGGGCACTCTGGCGTGGTGAGTATTTTGTCCACGTCCTGGGGACCAGCAGGGCCTCCTCTTTCCATAAGCAGGAGGGGCTTCCTGGAGGCGACACCCAGGGCCCCCACAGGTCCTAGAGGGGAGGGTCTGCCATCATCAGAGGGGAAGGGGTGCTCGCCTTCCTGGAGAAAGTCCCCGAGGGGCCTCCTGGGGGAGAGATGTGTGCACATGCTCCCAGTTCTCTGCTCCAGGCACTTCGGCAGGAGGCAGCACTGGGGTTTGGTGACTTTTGTCCTTTGTGTATCAAGTATGATCTGGGGTGACACTGGAGATTCGGCCAGGACCCCCGCCTTCCTGACAAGCTGGGCTCACTCAGGACGTCACAGTCATCCTAGGCTGTGACATCGTGCCTGCGACTTTCAGCCCGAGGTGCATGGGAAAGCTTGACCACTGCCTCCTTCCCAAACAAGACCTCGTCATCCTGTCTCTGTCTGTGGGCGCTGCCCCCCGCCAGAGGGCCTTTCCTCTGGAGCAGAGCCATCCTTCCCCGCGCCCTTGCCCCTCCAGCCCCTTCCCGCTCGCCCTGCCACCCCCCTGACCGATGTCCTGCGTCTCTTTCCCTCCAGCCCCCCTTTCCTCCAGCTTTACCGGAGAGCGGCAGGTGCCCGGGCAGCAGAGCGAGGCGCCCCGCCCCGTCCCTGCAGACTCGGGGGAAGCTGGCATCTGCAGACCGCCTGCTATCGAGGAGGAGGGAGCGGGGCCTCTGAGCGCCTCCGCGGGGACTGTCCACCTTGATGAGCCAGAATGAGAACTCATTCTCTGACTGGGCTTCTCTGGAGAGACCTGATCTTGGCTGCGGACCCCAGGTCCTTGCTGGGGACACAGCCCCCCAGCCCCAGTTACGGGGCCTTGCGGAGCCCCTGTGGGCAGGTGCCAAGGGCCGCTTCAGGGCAGGAGCCCCAGCCCCCGCCCCCCCGGTTCCCTCAGTGACCGCAACGTGAGTCAGAGCAAAGGGCGGACTCCCAGAAACAGCGCAGGTGGCCGGCAGCACGCCGCAGCAGGGCTGTTGCCACGATGGGGACCTTCGTCCAGGGCACCCGGGCGGCTCATGGAGCATCTCCAGTGTGGTTCCTTGGGTCGCCAGGCCAGCTGCGAAGACGCTGCAACTCGCCCGCTGGGGTCCTGGACACTTGCCGACTGACTCATGCGGCCACCCTGCTGTGTTAGACGCTGTCGCTAATGGGAACAGAACTGTGGATGCCACGGTGCCGCTAGCCTCCTGCCCTGAGTCCCGCCGAGGGACTGGCCAGAGCGAGGACTGAGAGCCGGTGGAGGGAGCTGGGATGAGAAGGGTGGGGTGGCTGGACAGGGCCGGGCCTCACTGGAGACACAGGGGCCAGAGGCCGTCTCGAGCGGCGCAGACCCAGGCACCGCGGAGGCAGGCCCAGTGTGGCCGAAGCCGCCTGGCCCAGAGCTGCAGCCTTCACGCTTCAGGGGCAGTGCCTGGCAAGGACCACAGCACCCATAGGTCTGCGGTTGAGAAGGGGGCTGACGCCCAGCTGGCAGCAGGTGAGGCTCAGCCGTCACCCCTGGGACGCCCACTCACCTCCTTCGGGTCTGCGGGATCCCGCCTCCTGGGGTGGGGGCAGGTCGGCCCCTCTGAGGTGTGGGTTCAGTTTGCTGGGATGCTGGCCCTGCAGAGGGAGCCCTGGTGTCTATTCGGGCGGGTGAGGGCCAGGTGGGCACGGGGCGGTCCCAGAGGTGCTGACTGTATTGTGGGTGTCCTCTGCCCAGACCCAGGACACTCCCCAGCATGGCCAGCCGAGGGGCCCGTGCGGGGTCACAGGGCACATCCCTGAGCCACAGGGGCAGCCTCAGCTCAGCTCCCAGCAGAGGAGGGCACCCGGCCCCTCCTGCCCACCCAGCCCCACCCTGCACCCCAGGCCTTTCGACCTGCCTGCCCACCCCATCTTGCTGGGCCCAGAAACTCCGAAACCTTTTCTTGTGGAGCAGCCCCTCTCTCCGGCCCTGACTCCCAGCTCAGCAGGCCTCCCTGGACCCCCAGGGCATCACCTCCCCCCAACCCCAGGGCGGGGTCAGAATCTGGATAGGCGGGCGCTCCTGGGGAGCTTTCCTCTCCACATGTTTCTAGGTGATGTGAGCGGCTCGGGGGGCAGTTCTGTATTCTGGGTCTGTAGGAGTGATAAGGGGCTCCGTCTCTCCAACCCCGTCCCATCACAGAGCCAGCTGAACCTCTGACAGTGGAGCTGCAGGGCCCCCCAAGACGCATCCCCCTGTAGAGAAGGGAGTCAGGCAGAGCAGAGGCCCGAGTGAGACCACCGCCCGCTCCCTAGAAGGGGCCTCAAGACACTCAGCTCTTTCACACGGTTCCTCTAAGGAAGCCCGTCTCTCGAAGCCATGTGCAGTCAGCCTGATGCGGGGCCTGGGCCCGGCCAGGGACGCATGGGCACAGCCTCCAGCTGGAAAGGCCACTCAGGAGGCTGGTTCTGGAGTGGAGGCTGGTCCCCCACCCTGGTCCACAATGGGCCCTCCAACGTGAGCACCCCTTCAAGGCCCAGTCCCTGGAGCTCGGGGTCCCTGGATTTCAGGATTCCTGGAACTCAGGATTCTTGGAACTCAGGGTCCCTGGAGCTTGGGATTCCTGGAGCTCGGGGCCCCTGGAGCTCAGGATCCCTGTAGCTTGGGGTCCCTGGAACTTGGGATTCCTAGAGCTCACGATTCTTGGAGTTCAGGGTCTCTGGAGCTCGGGATTCCTGGAGCGCAGGGTCCCTGGAACTTGGGATTCCTGGAGCTTGGGGTCCCTGGATTTTGGGATTCTTGGAGCTCAGGGTCCCTGTATCTTGGGGTCCCTGGAGCTCAGGATTCCTGGATCTTGTGGTCCCTGGAGCTCAGAGTCACTTGAAGTATGCAGGCGCCGTGTTGTGTGAAGGCAAGTGCTTGACGAGGACAACCCGCTGTCACAGCCTGGCTTCAGAGGTCACCTGTAGCCTGTGAAGGGCAGTGAACCCCGTACATGGCCGCGGCAATGCTGTGTCAAAAGGGATGGTGCGGAGTCCCTGGAAGGGCCCCAGAGCGGCGGGGTCGCCTCTGCCCCTTTGGGATCTTCCCCACAGCTTCCCCCTAGAGAGCCAGCCCAGCTCTGCAGTCTGTCTTGCCGTGTGCGGGGCATGGGGTCCCGCTGGGGCTTGGAAGGCCAGTCGGTGCCCCAGAACCATGAGCAGGTCTCGCCTGTGGAGGAGAGCAGGGCTGGGTATGGATGACTGGGTGCCTGAGGTGAGGGTTGGGTGTGGGGGCGCTGGGCAGGCATGACCTCCCTGGGGCCAGGCAGTCTCCAGGACCTGGGTGTTGATGGAGGCTCCCTTGGACATCTGGAGAGAGACCCGGACGGCACTTGGACCAGCTCCTGCTCCCAGGATGCTCGTGTTGGGGTGGCCTTGGTAGGGGGCGGTGGGCATCACCATGCGGGGACGGAATTGGGCTGCATGTCTCACGCAGGGCTATTGAGTGGTGGCACGCAGTGGGGGCCAGGGTCTCATTCTCAGTGACCCATGGACGAGCACATTTTCCCTCCACCCAGCACCGCCGTCCGAAGGCCAGGGGGAGAGGTCTGGGTCACCAGCCAAAGTAGGAGGATACTGTATGAAGCAGTTGGCACCAAGCCGTCCTCACCCTGGGCAGAAGTAGTGGACATTCAGTGAGAGGGGTCCCACAGCCCACGCTTGCTTTCACGGGGGCGGCAGGGGCGGCAACACTGCGACGATGCTGCTTTGAATTTTCTCAGTCTAGGGGGGAGGGGGCCGCTTTGTGGGTGCAGGGCTGGGGCTGTGAATCTGTGGCTGCGGACGCCCCCATCACGTTCTGTCTCACCAATCAGAGTGCTGACGCCTAAATCCAGGATGTTCTGTGTCGTTATCGCCCTTACCAGCCCTGACCGCTGACACAGACGGGGCTGAGCAGACGGGGTGGCGGGGGTGGCGGGGGCAGCTGGGGCTTTCTTCACTGGAGATGTCGCTGGGAGGGGCTGCTTCCATGCACATTTGGTGCAGTTCGTGCAACACAAGTTACTGGATTCCTAAGCAAGTGTCCCCTTTCTCCCATCAGCTTTTTAAAAAGTCTTCTACTTTAAAATAGTTTCAGACTTAAAAGTTGCACAGGTAGTATAAAGTTCCTGTAGCCCTTCCCCCAGCTTCCCCAGACGTCCCCATCTCACGTCGTCACAGCGCACTCTCCAAGCTCAGCTGGTCCACCTCTCTGTCCAGACAAGCGTTTTTTGCTCCAGGAGCCCCCACCGTGTCACGTCGTCTCCTGGTCTGTCGCAGTTTTCCTCATCGCCTTTAACTCTGGCACTTCTGTAGGAGCCGGTTGGTTATTCTGTGGATTGCTCTCCAGTTTGACTTGTCTGACATGCTCCTCTGATGGGACTGAGGTTAGGTATTCTTGGCGACACTGCCCCGGGATGACGCGCCCTCTGAGTGTGTCCGTCAGGCTGTGCAGCGTCCATACACTGTGTCCCTCCAAGTGGAACCTTGATCAAGGTTCTACCAAGTTCTCCACTGAAAAGGTGTCATGGGTAACACTAACTATAAGTAGTGATGGAGAGAGACACTTTGAGACCAACAAATACGATGATCCTGCTTAAACGTTCACCCGATTACTAAGCCGACATCAGTCAGTCTCTCCTGCCGTGGTGGTTCGCGTGGCTTTCTATTCCCATGTTCCTTCTGTTTCGTTAGAGTGTTTCTCTGGAGAAGGCCTGTCCCCTTCTCTCGTTTCTTCCTTTATGCAATTCCGTGCAGCAGTGCGTGTGCATGGGTGTTTAGTTTGTCCTGTGGGTTATGATCCAGCACTGTCTTTAATTCTCTTCTTGCTCGGGTCGGGGCGGGGTAAGTGACTGAGCTCCCATCATGTTGGTGTCTCTGACCCTTGAGCCCTGCTATGCCTTGAGCCCCTTCTTACTTTCCATCCCTGCAGGATGCGCAAGCTTATCTTGTGTTTCCCCTGCCCCAAGCCTGAAACAACCGCTTCTCTGAGGAGCCTGGTTCCTTCTGTTGGGAGTGGTGTTGGGGAACCAGCCTCTCAGGGCTGGGAGTGCTCGCAGCTCCTGGGGTGAAACAGCTGGCTGTTTCCAGGCCCTCTCAGGCAGAGCTTGGAAACACCTCTGTGCACGGATGCAGGAGTGGCCACGCCTCTTTGTTTGTTTCTGCTTGTCATCTATCTATGTACCATCTATTATCTATCACTTAGCTATCATTTGTCATCTATTTATCTATCACTTATCATCTGTTGACTATCATCCATGCATCTATCACCTGTCTATAATCTATCGTTTATCTATCATCTTTCTGCCCCTATCCTCCATCTGGCATCTATTATCTGTCACCTGTCTTCTGTCATCTATCACCTATCTGTCATTTATTGTCTATCATCGGTGCCTCCATCTGCCATCTCTGTGTCTATTATAAGACCACAAATTCACAATGATACTTCCAATTCCAGCCACCCACTCAAGACCCAGCCCTGCCCTCCCCCTTTCGCTACCTGCAACTCCGTTCCCTGGAGATGTGGGTCTCACCGGTGGCTGCCCTGTATGAGTCCCTGCCGCTCCACATTTTCTCCAGCACCTGGTCAGTCTTTAGTGGGGCAGGGGATTCATTCTAATGAGGGCAAAGTGGTTATTATTTTGAATTTAATTTTTGTTTATCTAATGACTAATGAGGGCTTCTCTGGTAGCTCAGTCGGTAAAGAATCTGGGTGCAGTGATCCTGGGTCAGGAAGATCCCTTGGAGAAGGAAATGGCAACTGGCTCCAGTATTCTTGCCTGGAGAATCCCATGGACAGAGGGGCCTGGTGGGCTACAGTCCATGGGGTCGCAAAGAGTCAGACACAACTTAGCGACTAAACCAACACCACCGATGACTAATGATGTTGGGCATTTGTTGTATGTTGATTTTCCTTCTGTGTATCTTCTTCAGTGAACTGACCATTGAAATCATTTGCCCATTTTTAAAAATTCAATCTTTGCTTTTTTATTATTGAGTTTTAAGACTCCTTTTTACATTTTAGATATAGCCCCTTGGTCAGATACATAATGCAAAAGTATTTTCTTTTTTGTCTTTTTCTTCTTTTGAGAGTATCTTTTGAAGTGAAGTTCTTAGGTAAAAATCTGATTTGCCAACTTAAAAGTAAATAGGTTGTGTGGTATTGGGCCTCGGAAAACCTTGCCTGATTCAAAGTCACCAGTATTTTCTCCAGTGTTTCCTGCTGGAATTGTGTGACTTTGTGTCTTACATTTGTATTTATGACCCATTTTGAGTTTCTGCTTGCATTTGGTGCATGGTTTTGGTCAAAGCACATTTTTTGCAAGTGGTTGGCCATCTCTCGTCTCCTCCCACCCCCCCCCCCCCATAAGGAACTCTTCTTGTTTTTGAGTAAAATGCCTTCTGCTTGGCTGGACCAAGCCCACTCTGCAGTCAGCCCCATCCTGGATGGAGTGTCCTCCCCGAATCTGAGTCATCCAACTCGGGGAGGCAAGGGTCACAGCTGCTATC